AAAAAATAAAATCGAAAACAAAATTCAGATTATTCCACTATTTAACTGACCTCTTTCATCCCTTCGGTGCGCAGGTAAGTGCTTACTAATGTGTATTGATAATTATAATTTATACAGTTCATATTTGAAGTTACTGAAAAATTGAAGTCTACAGTGTATGGTTAAAATATGGAACAAATTCATTTTAAAATCAGGTATTGGATTTGAAGAAAAATGCTCCCACACGTCCATGATATTTAATATATCTCTCTTTTCCTTTTTTTGCAGTAAACTGAAAATATACAGTGTGAGTCAAAAAGTAGAAGTCGATGGAACACCATGCCTAATTAATTTAAAATGAACAAGTAGGCAGTACCAGTAAAATTTTCATATTGTCACAATTACATTTCTGTCAGTAAAGAGAGTGAATATGACCTATCTAAATGAAACCGAGAGAATTTTTATTTTTATTTTTATTGGATATGCAGATAAAACAAGAACTTAGGACGAAGTTTGTAATTTGTTTGACGCAAAATATCCAAGGCAAGTCCTCAATGAGTAAAATTAAGAGAAAATTTATATAAACAGGGTATATAAAAAATAGTCTATTATTTTATGAAAAGTTGAAGATAATTCCCAGGGTGCATCTTCTGAAGTAGCTTCAAATAATGATGATAGCCGACGAACCGCTTTGCTCGCATTAAAAAAAGAAAAGTATCATCGGGACGGTAAATAAACAAAATTATATGGATGGATTGATGGATGAGAGTAAAACTGAAAATATAAATGTTTGTGCAGGATTTTTGAAAAACAAATTTATTGGACCTTAGATCTTAGATCTCAGGTTTTACTGGAGCCCCGATATTTACAAGAGCGTGAATATTTAAGTACGTGTTTTCCCGTTCAGTGGATTGGTAGCAGGGCGTCAAGAGAATAGTCCGGCATGATCTTCAGATATTATTCAACTGGATTTCTTCATCTGGGGATATTTTAAATTAAAAATATATTAGGAAATACCCAGCAACATAGATGATTTTAAATTTATTACTAAATATTTAAATATACTGAGCATTGTTTAGGGAAGGGTTTTTAAAGCGATTAACAAATTGTCAAGAAGTAAATGGTAGGCATTTTCAACACCTATTATCATAATTTCCTTGACATTCACTGTTCCTATGAATTTTCTCTTAATTTTATTCTGTGTGGATCTTGTAATGGGTCGTTCTGGACATTTTGTGTTAAACAAATTACAAACTTCTTAATTCCTTTTTTTCTCTCCATATCGAATATAAATTAAAATGTTTGTTTCGTTTCACTTTCTTTACTAAAAGAAATATGATTGTGACAAATTAAGAACTTTACTGGTACTAGGTAAATACCTGTGCATTTAAAAATTAAATTTGCATGTTTTATTCTTTTCTTAAAAAAGCGAAATTTGACGAGGAATTAGAAAATTGGGGCAATCGGATGTTTTCGGAGATTTTACCACACGGCTTGAATTTTGCCGTGTGTGTCATTTCTAACGGTCATGTCAGCGAATGTGTTGCTGTTATTTTGCAAAAATGGCTTCTCATTAAAAAAAGGAAAGTTGGAATCGACATCGTCATTTGTACCCACCATGTATATTTTCAATTCACTGCAAATAATGCCCAGGAGAAAATCCTGATGACATCCAATACCCGATTTTTAAATTCATTTGTTCCATATTTTAGTCGTCATGTTTATGTTGTTTAACAAAAGTTGCAATGTCCATAATTTCTAATTTTAAAAACCCCGTGGGCATTGGGACATTAATACCAATCGCTTGAAAATTGGAACTAGCACACGTATGTCATGAGAAACTAACTACGCCTGCAAAGTATGTCGCTATGAGAACGCTTTTCCCATGTCTCAACACTCGGCTGCATATAAGAAAAAAAGTTCTTATAAGCACTGATGCAAAAACTCCTCCCTTTGAAGACACGCACATACCTTTCAAACACTTATTCACTTATACAGATCTAAATTAAGTGTTCGTCATTGAAAACGTTAGTATGAGTAGAGATACAAAGTCGCTTCATTTTAGAAACTAGTAGCGTTATTCCAACTGATTCCAATGGTAAAAATGAGGAAAGTATACTCTTTTTAAATGAAACACCCTCTATATTATTTATTCCAAAGTTCGTAAATTACCAACAGAACAAAAAAGTTCACAGGCAAAATTATCCTAAAATTTCAAATAACCGAATTATAAGCACATTTCTCTTTTAGACTAGATGGCTGTGAGTGGTTGCGAAATAAAACTCCATTTCCCTTTTTTTGTTTTATTTGATCACTCATAGCCATCTCGACCAAAAAGGAAACGTGCTGATAATTCGGTTATTTTCAATTTTAGGCTAATATTTGATTTACGAATTTTAGAGAAAAAAAATATACAGGGTTTTCCATTTAAAAAACTACATTTTCCTTTTTTTCCTAAACTCTATATTCAATTGTTTTTCTGTTTTTATCATCGTAATCAATAGAAAAAATGCTACTAGTTTGCTAACTTAACCGATTTTGTACCCTACTCATGACATGATGAACTCTTAATTTAGATCAGCCGGTAAAGTTGGCTTATAAGCCTAGCAAAGAGTAATCAACAGAGTAACAACCGTTTTATGAGAAGAATATTTTGATCATACTCATATTTTCCACTTTGCCTTCTCTAATCCTTTATAGTTAAGTATGGTAAGGCTAATTTTAAGTCTAATGCTCACTGTAATGTACTGATGATTAATTTACTATAAATTTTCCCAAAAATATTTCCAATCAATATTGCTGCTTCACACCACTGAGTTTATAGTTTAAGAGTTCGTAGAAATGACGTTCAGAAATAAGCAATGTTTCCTTTTTATTAAAACTTTCTAACTTTGTTCGTTTCTGCAAACCGCCGCTCCAATGTCAGCCACTTAATTTTTTTAATTATACCCCACGAATCAGCCAGAAGGAACAAATGTGTCCTTTGCTTGCATATCAGTGTCTTGGGCAATGATCCTCCGTTCGCTTTTGTTCTCTCGTTCTTTTATTGTCATACTGCCATAACGGGCGCCCATGCATTTGGGTAGGCGCGGTGCCGTGGTGGCGGCGGTGTTGCCGCGTTGTCACAACAATAGCGAATTTGGATAAACGAAACGTTGAAGATGGCAAAACTCTTGATACCCGTCGAAGACTCCAAAGTTTTAAACAACTAAATGTACGCGTGGGAATTCCGAGTGGCGAAGCGGCAACGTCGCTTCGATTTTGACCAAAAAGGAATAACCGAATCCCAACGAAACTCAGACCATTGACCAACAACTATAACAATACCCAAGGCTCGCAATTGTGGGTGCTGGTTGGTTAATACGGTGGAGGTGACTAATTTCGGGTAGTTGCGGCTGGTGGTGGGTAAAAATGGCGGCGGTCAAAGGCTTCGCTTGGACCGCGATTAAAGGTACGTGCGTAACTAACCAAAATTGTAGACTAAACATGCCGAGATTCAGTGGTAGACGTGTTTGCCGGTGATTTTAATTTTATATATATGGCGGGCCAGTAACAATCAACGTATCTCCATTTTGTACCTTCCCAACTTGCGCACTAAATTTGAGATGGCTTTCTAACGATTATTGTACCAGACTCCTGCACAAAAACAGTCAAAAAATTATGGACGAATCTTCGAATTGTGTCAAATGAATTTTCTAAAAACAAATATACAGGGTGTAACAAAATTTAGGTCAATTCAAGTCAAAATAGATATTAGTTTTTGACGGATAAAATATTGATTTGAACCGTCTTTTCCAGACTGTTTTATTTTTATGTTGCCGTGTTTTGATTTTTTCACATGTTGCATTAATTGAAGAAAGCAATATTTAAAGATAGCACATATAGTTGCTTGAAAAATGCATTTAAACAAAATGGTGAGTCAACGATAGAGTTGTAGATATTGATATTTTATATTAGCATTACTCGAAAATGACGTAAGAGATATATGGAACGGAAATTTGAATTAGATGCTACGGGGTGTTCACTATAAACGAATATATTTGAATCATTTTAAAATGAAAAATCTCGATTTGTCGAAAAAAATATACCAAATATATCCAGATTTTGTTATTTTACGTCTTGTATTGTTAATATCAAATATAAGTGATTTAGCTCCAAAAATAATGGCGCTATCGTAATTTTATGTATAAAAATTTAAATACTGGAAAAACTGTTAGGTTTAGGTACGTAATATTATTAATAAAAAAAGAAGAATTTTAAAAGAAATTAAAAACAAAATTTGCATTAAAAAAAGTTTCGTCAATTAATATGGTGCATCCTAACAATTTTACAACTTTTGTATTCACCATTTTACTCACCCTGTATACTCAAAACAAAGCGTTCAAATGAAAATTGACAAAGTCCTATTATGTTAGCCAACGTTTTCACTAATTGACCTAATTTTAATAATACCCTAAATACATAAATAAATGTATCAACGCTCTATCACAAGAAAATTATCATTCCTTCGAAATCTGAAAAAGTTTTTATAATTTATTATGTATTGGAAGTTTTAGTGGGTTTATTTAAGTTAATTTACTTTAAGTATTGTTTTTGACAAAAATCGAAAATTTCTCACACTAGAACCGTAACTGCAGCAATAAGATTCCATTTTTAAAAGTATTGTTTTATTACAAAGATTATTTTAACACGCAAAAAGACTACCAACATCTAGACTTTACGTAAAAAACTAACCAAAACTTCTGTTTTTATATTTTAAATATCATAGGAAACTATTGAGACCCAAAATCACATTTATCTTTACCCAATAACAAGAAATTTTTGTAATAGGAGCATTGAAAAATCTCTCTCTCGCTATTTTCATACTGACTTCCGATAAATATAATTAAAAACTAACCGTTAAATACAAAGAAAAGAATCTTGGCACGTCTATTCTGTGAGTAGTCTATTAAAAAATACGGCCATTTTTAAAACGTCCATCACCAAAACCGATTTCAACCACGACGACCATTTGGTGACAGGTTGGCGGAGAACGCCGGAAACCGACCTGCTAGATTTCCTGCTGCCAGACGGCGAGGACTACCGTCTGGTGTTCGTCAGCTCGGATGGATCCTCCAAGGAGGAAGATGTTGACGACAATGATAGCTCGAGCGCTTCGAGCTTCCCAATAGACGAATGTTACTGGGACTACTTCGAACCTGGTGCCAACAAACCCCAAATGTTCGGTTGGGGTTCGCCGTTTGGTTCGCCCAGGGTCTGCAGGAAGGGCTTGGTGGAATCTCCGATCGGTTAGTACCATTCATTTTTTTCCAGTTAGTTTTATATGCATCTATGTCGGACTCATACCCTATCCAAACTCGTTACTTTCCACAGTTCTCATAGATGTCAGACTCAGGTCATTCTTTAAATTAAAATTATATTTAATAGGGACAGGTTGGTCTATTTAAGGCCATCCTGTACCTTAACTCAATATATACAACCCTTTTATGTATACAAGGTGTTCCGATGTGCCAAACCAAACGTATCTCATAAAACGAATGCTATGAGTATTTTTTAAAAATCCAACTACTCGCTTGATTTTGAGTATTTTTTGCCATTATATAGCATACGAAATTTCGAGTATATTTTGAGAAAAAAGAACTTTTCAATTTTTTGCGGAAAAAGAGGTTTTGTTTTTTTTACACTTGAAAACTAAAATTGAAAGTTATTGTTATGTGGCCATGGAAATGGTTAATAAATATGTTATACATTTTGGTCACAAATGACCATCGTTTTTTTTTTCCTTATAAAAAAGTTTTGGTTTAGTATATATATATATATATATATATATATATATATATATATATATATATATATATATATATATATATATATATATATATATATATATATATATGATAAAATATTGTTAAACAAGGTTGTAGCCTTTTTTGGAAAAATATTTACCAAAAAATAAAATAGAATAATTAAATTCAAAGGCTGAATATGTTTCGGCTAACAGCTATCCTCGGTATATGAAAAATGTCGCTTAATTGTTTAATATTTTTTAGTAGTACCTATTTTATGTCTTAAAATATTAATGAGTGTTAATAGATGTGAATATTGCCAGAGACGGATCTCATTATCTTCAGCCCAAGAAAATATGTAACCATATAATTTAAAAATTCTAGGTAATACAAAAGCTTCAAAGAAATAATACCTACCCTTGAAAATTGGGTTCCAAAATTAATTTTTCAGTTTATCTTCATTTTCCTGTCTACTGGATTTAATACATTATTATGGCGTACTTGTTGTTATAGGGATTTACTTATTGATTATTATTAAATATTTAAAAACCAATTTGAAAAAGAAATATCGACACACCGTAACTTGAAAACTTGAAAAATTTGGTATACAGGATGTTCCAAAGCAATGCGAACAATTTTGGGGCAGTAATTTCTTATTTATATTAAAAGGTAGTTTATTATATCACCGTTGAGTCAAAAGTAAACCAAATGAGGCGGAAAAGTAATGTTATAATATTTTATCTTAAAAGCGAATATAGATAAAGCAGTACAATATTGGGGAAGTATTGCTATTAGAAAAACACATTTTCCGTTATTTTTTTTTAATTTTTTTATAATGAGTTGATTATATTATGTTAGACTATGCCTATCATTATTCTTAACCAAATTTAAGGAAGAAATTGACAATGATATAAAACATTGATAATTTTATATTATGCTTTATTTAGAACTTTTTTTTTCTCCTGAATTTTGTTGTATTATGTACCAACATCTATTGATAATCTTCCAAAAATTACATTAAAAAAAATATTAATGAAAATTTCTAAAATTCATGGGTAAACTATGAATAAATAAAATCTTTTAAAACGTTTTATTTAAACAAAGTAACCCAAATAAAACGCAAGAAATAAGGAAGATACCTAAGGCAACACAAAAATATAATTTTGTGCGAAGTGTTGAGAATGCCTGCCTTGCGATATCATAATACTATCGCTTCAATGTACGGATACATTTATGCTTCCAATTCTCCATGACTGAATAAAACTGTTATTATTAAACAATTAAATAAATTAATTATTATTATTAATTATTAATTAATTTAGTCCTATTTTGTATTCAAACTGAGCCAGGTCTCATAAAGCAACAATAAAAATAATACCAACGTGAAGCAGCCCACTAGATCATCTTAACAAATAATAAAATAAAAATGAAAAATGTAACAATTTTTTTTACATTGAACAACAGACAAAACAAATAAAATGACTTAAACTCCGAAAAAAGAAAGTATTTCTCAATGAAATCAATGCGAAACAATTAAATTGCATACCACTTGTATTACCATAGATTTGGGTTATGTAGAAAATGTTTTGGAATTCGTAATAAGTTCTATTTACTTGCATTACGTGTTGATTTGAGATTGAATTCAGGTAATTAATTTAAAAAGAAAAAAACTTAGAATAGAATTTTTCAAGATTTCTTTTTCAAATTGGTTTTTGAACATTTATATTCAATATTGTTGCAATTGCAATTTAACAATGTTATATGGAGCAATAAGTAAATCCCTATATAACAACAAGTACGCTATAATAATGTATTAAATCCAGTAGACAGGAAAATGAAGATAAACTTAAAAAATAATTTTGAAACCCAATTTTCAAGGGTAGGTTATGTGAAAGGTAACATCAGCAGCATTAATTTTTATTTCTTTGAAGCTTTTGTATTGCCTAGAATTTTTAAATTACATGGTTACATATTTTTTTGGGCTGAAGATAATGAGATCCGTCTCTGGCAACATTCACATCTATTAACACTCATTAATATTTTAAGACAGAAACTATGTACTACTAAAAAATATTAAACAATTAAGCGACATTTTTCATATACCGAGGATAGCTGTTAGCCGAAACATATGCAGCCTTTGAATTTAATTATTTTATTTATTTTTTTGAGTAAAAATTTTTCCAAAAAAGGCTACAACCTTGTTTAACAATATTTTATCACAATCCGTGTGAAAACTTAACAAAACAAATCAAGTGGATCTAGTGAAACCCATTTAAAAAGATAATAAAAGGCAAGGAACAGTATCAATTTTATTTGTATAAGTAATTTTAAGTACCCCAAGCACGAATAAAACATTATTCTGTAATTAACGATACATATACTCTAACGGATGAAGCTTGGGCATGGCGATTTATCTTCGCCAATCCTAAATATTTACGAAATCATGTTGTAAAATAATGGAAAATGCAGTTTGGGAACAGATTAAATACGGAAGATTATAGTAAAGCTCAGCAATTGGGATTAGTTTAGGTGCCAGATGATCTTTAGAAAACTAATATTTTTTTAGTTTTATTGTTTTTTGAATAAACATAAAATTATGCGCTTTTTCTAATTAAGAAGTTATAAAACTGGGTGTTCAATTAAGAATTCAAAAAATTACATATATTCTTCGTCCTGTTAACGTCATTTATGTCAGAAAATCAAATATCTCAAAACGGACAAATTCACATGAAATCATTTTAGCTATATGGCTCCCATTCAATTTAGTATGAGTATTAGTAATATCCCGAATTTCCAAATTTTTGCTATTTATAATTTTCTCACAGATTGTGAGATGGAACACCCTGTATAGTTGGCTATATAGTTGTGTATGTCTGTATGTATAATAAAATAATAAATAAACGAATCAATGAAAACCAAAAATGATTTAATGATTATTTGTTTTACCTGTTTTTCTCCATTCACCAATACTGAAAATGTAAAAAAATAGTACAGAAGGTATATTCTAGTTGAATTGAACAAAAATATACTATATTTTTGAAAACTTTACCACCCTGTATCTCAGAAATTAGGACGTTACGTTCATATAAAGTGTTCCTTTTACAATGGATCCAAAAATCGCCGCTTTAATAACTGACATTCAATTAGAAAACACCCTGTATAATTAATAAAATCTTATTAAAAAGTAACATTTTACAGAAATAAAATTATAAAAATCATAATATTATTCGTCTTCAGAGGAACTGTCATATCTTCTTTACATAACAATAAACAGGTGGATGTAGATTGTTGAAGTAGTCAAGATCCCACCATATTTCCTTCTCTTCTTTAATGGACTACTTTTCACCAGTTCTCTGGTGTCACTTCCTCCATAGCTTGCTCAAACGGTAGATTAAGGTCTTTCATTTTGAATTCCGTCTTTTGTCTTGCTGTAACTTCTGTCGCTTGCACCCAAACGAGTTCTATAAGATATTTCTAAACATATTTCATAAAACAAATTACTATTTAGAATTATTTATTTATTTTATTAATTAATGGAAAAGAGAATCATGAATTAAGTATACTTCCTCTACAATTCAGTGTCTGCTTGGGATGTTGCTGATCATCATGCCTATTTTAATTTTAGAGGCTGCTCTAAGTTGTTCAGTGCTTGAAAGCCCAAATCATTTGCGAAGGTTCTTGAACCAGGAAATTTTGGATCTTCCAGTCAAAGTTTTTGAAAAATACCACTGACCTGAAGATTAAACTATTTGCATATGTACAAGTGAGCCATGCACCTCTAAACGGCAGATAAAACCATATAGCTATTAGATGATATAGTGGTCCTGATATAGTAAATATAAAATAATTCTAGAGACTTCAGCTATTCTCAAAAAATTCTGCACTCTTTCAATGTTGTCAATATACACTTCCATAATTTGCTTGCATACGCCACCGATGAACAATGAAAAGCGCAATAGTACAGTATTTTAAATACTATGCGAATAAATCTGCGCTAAATCTATAAATGAAACCTAAGCTTCTATATCCACGTGCAGTAAGCACATTTATTTGATTCGTGAAAGAGACTTTGGCATCAGGTGCTTCACTTACTCTCTATAAAGGAGTGGAATTTACACAGACTTCAGGGACTAAAAGGGACCCCATCAGTCATTAACAAAATTGCCATTGTTTTGATGGCAACACTGTACAATAGGCAAGGGACGAGCGCGGAGAGGGGTGTTGCCTAAATAAGAATGGTTGCTATGGTAACAACGTTAGGGGGGGAGAATATAGTTTCTGAGAGTAGCAATGACTCATTGTTGAATTGCAAATATCCAATTTGAAATATTATATAAAGTAATTGCTGTAAATTAACAAAAAGTATATATTTATACTGCGCTATGTGAATTCAAAACACAAATATCAAGTTCATGATTAGTTAAGACTACACAAACATTCTTCGATGATGCTTGAAAAGACTTCACGCTATCTTATAAAAGGGAATTTTTGGAAATAATGGG